CCAGTTCATCAACTCATGCTTCATATCACAACCCTTTAATGCTGTTTTTTTCAAAGCCACTTATCATTTAGCTTTACGTATTTTTATCATTAGTTATCATATTATAATTTTTCCGTTTTGCAATTTAAAGAAAATACATATTTGATATTTATAATCAGATGCCCTGTATTTTGCAGAGGGGTGGGAACAGGGCATTTGAGACAGGGTTTCTCTACATAGCCCTGGTTGTTCTGGAATTCACTATGTAAACCAGGCTGACCTGAGGCTTACAGAGATCCACCTATCTCTGCCTCCCTAGCGCTGGGATTTAAGGAGTCTGCCACCTTGGCCAGCTAAATGCCATGTATTTAACTAAAGAAACTATTCAATTTTTCCTCCAATAGATTCTAACTCAGAATTGTCAAATGAACAATTAAGGCAGCGTCTTCATGAAACTTTAGAGGTATGTCCTGCAACGAAGTGGGCCTTGCACCCCTATCCATTCCTCTAGACCCCCCCCTTCTTCCCTTCATCTCTTGGGTACCTACTTTTCAACAGGCTCCCTTTCTTATTCTCTCCGTCTCTGTCTCTCTCTCTCTCTCTCTCTCTGGCTGTCTCTCCCTCCCTTTTCTTTCTTTGTTTATGTTTGTGTGGGCACCTGTGCACAGCACACTTGTAGACATCAGAGAACAGCTTGCTGGGGTTGGTTCTCTCCTTCCATCCTGTGGGTTCCAGGGATTGACTGGTGGTCAGACTTGGTGACTTGGTGGTCAGACTTGGTGGCAAGCTCCTTAACCTGCTGAGTCATCTTGCTGGCCCTGGTTCTTGCCTTTTAAAGTCCTCTTGTATAAGCACACCCGCGCCCTTCAAGCATGCCTGTCGTTTCTCTACCTGGCTTCTCTAAACCTATCTAAACTACAATTGGCATTGCTTCCTTGCAGATGTCATATCTCTGCCTCCCAAGTGCTGGGATTAAGGGCATGTGCTGCTATGCCCAGCTGAGAATCCTTTGAGATCCTTTGTCAAACAGAACAACACCGAGATTTTTCTTTTCCTTATGAGAGATCTTTTATTAAGCAGGGAAGAAAAGGTTAATTGGTTGCTTTCTGACAGGCAGAAAAACATCAGAAAATGACCTCGCAGGTGTAATTTTTAAGAGGAGACAGGGAGGTCTGTGTTAGAATAGGGTAGGATGCAGTAATAAAGGAGATGGGGGATGAGGGAGAAGGGGACAAGGGAAAAGGGGCAGGGGTATTTGTCCTGGAGGGACAAAGGACTGTCCCTGGATAGAGAGGAGACACATGTGGCCCATAGGAAATAGCAGTTTATAAGGGTAAAGGGGGAAACCCCGTGTTAGGAGGAGGTATTTCATTTTAATTGGGCATGTTAATTAGGTGAGCCAAAGGCTTCCAGTTGCTGGACTTCAATGGTAGTCAGTGTCACGGGGATGAAGTGACCAAACAAGGGGATGGACCTTGATGGCTAGCTTTAGGACTGTAATCTAATGGTTTTTAGCAAAGCAGAGGTCTGGGGACAAGGGCAAGGCCTGCCAGAGCCACATGCTGGAGCGGGCTGCTGTCCTGTCATACTGCAGCTTGGTAATGAGGCTCTTGGTCATAGTCCGACAGGCTCCCTGCAGCGTCTCTAGGAACTCACAGCCCTGTTTAAGGGTAAATGTGGACTAGCCATGTTGACAGTTCAGGAATTCCATGCCTTGCAAACGGGAAGGCTTACTGTATTTCTGTCCTCAGGAAGTAGAGATTTTAAAAACTGAACTTGAAGCCTCTCAAAGACAACTTGAAGGTAAAGAGGAAGCACTGAAAATCCTTCAAAGCATGGTAAGAATTTATTTCTGAAATTTTCATCACTTAACACATTTCAGTAACGAGTGGAATTATAATCCCTACACTCAGGAGGCAGTGGTAGGAGGATTGAGTTCAAGACCAGGCCTGGTTACATCCTGAGACCCTGTTTTGGAAACACACACCACCACCACCACCACCACCACCACCACCACCACCACCACCACCACCACCACCACCACCAGCAGAAACAACAGTAATTAGTGATGTTTTTACCTTGTAAAATAAAAGAATCGGTGTTTAATATTGTTGGGTTTTTGAGGTGCAGTTATTTTTTTATTAACTACTGAGTTGTATAGGTATCACTAGAACTTAATTTTAGAGCAAACATTTGCAACATTTTTTTAAAAAAAAGAAATAAATCTTGTAGGGGCTGGAGAGATCGTTCAGAGGCTAAGGCTGCTCTCCCAGAGGATCTGGGTTTAATTCCCAGCTCACAAACATCTGTAATGAGATCTGGTGACCTCTTCTGGCACGCAGGTGTACATGCTGACAGAACACTGTATATAAAATAAATCTCAAAAAAAAAAACTTAAAAAGAATCACCCACACACTTTTTAACAGATTTGTCTTTTCACCTTTTCTCTTTCAAGCAAACATAACCAAGCAATTTGTGTAATTGTTTGGTTAGCGTGCTTTTTTTTTTTTTTT